CCCCCCCCCCCTCGAGTTCCGTCCAGATTGGATATATAATAAAATATTCAAATATTCAGTATATATATTAGCATAATCAATATATATATATATATTCGGATTTTAGCATATTAACCAAATTTTATATTGGAATGCACACATTATATTAGCCCATAGATTACAGTTGCGTAATGATTCATTCGAATATCATTATTGGAGATTGCGTGGGTTGACTTGACTTAAAGGTTTTCTCCTAAAGTCTTTACTATATTTAAAAAATAAATATAATATTAATTATATATGTATTACAACAAATTCAAAATAATAATACGAGTTTTGAGACTATCAATATTAAAAATTTTAATGAGAATATATCACCCCAATTTCTCATTAATTCATATTTATAGGCTATAAAAATGTTTAAGAGACCTTATATTAAATTTACAAAGACCAGTATAAAACAAGGGTTATTTATTTTATGTTATTATTAATTTTTTATTAAAACATTTTTATTTAATCATAGTTATTATTTTATTCATCCTCTTATAAAACTTATTTTTATATGAAAATAAATTATGATCTCAATCATTAAAAAAAAATTTTGAAGTAATTATATTAGTTCAAATCAAGGTGAAGATCTCGACAAAAAAAACCACCAATTGCATCAATACATAGTGACCTTACAATTAATTGAAATACCACAACTTCAAAAATAATTACAATGTCTGTGTTATAAATGTCAGTAGTGTATAAATCTTTAATTTAATTGAAACCTTTCACTCTATTTAGGCCTTGTTTGATTGCGGCATTCCTTTTACATAAGTTGAGTTTAAAGAAAAGAGTAAGAGGAATTTGGGTAAACGGTATTTTTTTTTCTTTTGAGATCGGCAGTATTACGGAGATATTACAAATGAAGCTGCAACCAAAGCTTTCAGAATTCAAATTGTTTTAGATGCAATTTCACATTATGTATAAGAGAAAACAAACGATTGGCAATCACAAGTTTTAAAAAAGCTACATATTGCACACAAAGACAACTAAGCATAAATGTTCAAGACTCAATTAAGACACATTAGCATTCCCCTAAATTCATTCATACAGTTTAATCATATATTGTTCGATAAGTTTCTTCAATCATCTTAAAATAGCATTGATCACATCTCATGCCTACCTTAATAGCCATAAGTAGAACCATAAGCAGACGCATATCCTGCTGCAGCATGAGCAGGAAGCCCAGCATTGGCTGCCGGAGATGAATAAATATGACCATGTTGGTAGGAAGTGTAACCCTGATCAGCTTGGCCCAACACGGTCGGCGCAGCTGCAGCAGCAGCGGCTGGTGCGGCAGCTTCAGCCATGAAATTCTGCAATATAAATATGATCAGCAGAATTTTTACCTGTAAATTAGAAATTTCAGGAACTAAAAGTCTACCAGAAAAGAACTTCCAGTTGATGCCTGTTCAAGGTAAAGAATCTATTGCTGGACAAATTTTCATTTTCAACCCATGTTTTGACTTTTATAGAGAGAAGATCTAAAGCACTGCAGCTGCTACTACGCTAGTTCTAAAACAATTTTGCAAAGGTCCACGAAACAAAGGCATTTTCTTCATATAATTATTTCTTTTACCTCACAGATAATAATGTTAAGATATTTACAGCAAAGTAAATGCAGCAAATAAGTCAATTTTACTATATATTAAAAAAAGGGCAACACAGAAAGGTAATCATATCAAAGCAATAAGCATCAACTATTAAAGGATGCAGAATAGTGACATCAACAACGACATTAAGCTTTTGTCCCACTACGTGGGGTCGGCTACAAGAATTTTTTTTCTCCATTAAAAGTCAAATTCTCGTTTAAATCTAATAATGAAAGATCATTTCTAATATTCTCTAACCGAGTCTTTTTTTTTAGGTCTACCTCTACCTTTCCTAACATATGTCAAATCTAATACCTCTACTTTCTTGACTAGGTCATCGGCAGCCCGCCGTTTTACGTGACCAAACCATCTAAAGACGACTCTCTAAGAATATGCTCATTTTTTTTTATCTTCCACTGGAGCTACTCCAACGTTTTCAAGAATATGCGCATTTCATATCATATCTCTAAGAGTAATGCCACTCATTCACATGAGCATCCTCATCTCTGCAACACTTAGTAATATGCTTCTCTTTTAATGGCCAACATTCGGCACCATAAAGCATTGCAGGTCTCACCACCATAAGTTTGAGGGGGACTTTTCTATCACACAACAAGCATGATGCATTCCTCCACTCAACCATCCAACTTGAATTCTGCTGATAATATCCCCATCTATTTCACCATCACTCTGAACAATAGATCCAAGATATCTAAAATGTGTACTCTTATTAAAGACTTGATCGCCCAAAGGCCAAAGTCACAATCCCCTCACTAGGCCTATTACCACTAAAATTACACTCCATATATTCAGTTTTAGATCTACTCAAGCAAAAACCTTTAGACTCTAAGGTTGACCTCCATAATTCAAGTTTAATTAAAATTGGCATATAGCTTCACAAATGTCCCAAGCAGGCTGATATAGTAAGGTATTTTAAAAACAAAATATAGACCCATTAAATTTTTTACTAGACCATAGGACCCTAATTAAAAAGTCGAAACAGATCAGAATATGTCTAGGAAACATCATAAGGCACATGCAATGATCAGCTGTGTGATAGAGCATCAGACCTGTATCAGTTGCTGAGCGGTTTGAACTTGTGTAGCACTTCCAATAACCTCCACAGTCATTTCTCCTGGTACACCCCTTGTTTCCTGTATAGTTACAGTTGCTCCACTGGCACGACGGATATAGCTGATATTAGTTCCAGCGGCCCCTATTACAGCATCTGCATAAGAAAGGGGAATTTGCATATGCTGGGTGACCTGAAAAAAATATGAACAGTTTAGAAATTACAGAGCACAGAATAAACTCCAGAAACCTACTAATCTAACAATATCAAACAAATAAGAGTATTTTTCACCTGCGCAACCATTGTTGGTGCTGATTGTTGATTAGCTGCAGAATGAATGCCCATGGATGGTGCGTCGCGTCCGTACGTAGATATACCATGGTGAGGTTGTTTTTCCAATGAAGGAAGGTCGGGTGGATGGTAATAACTGTCATGAGGACGAGAAGGCATGAATTGAGGATTGGTACCGTAGCCTGAACCAGCATTTGAGGGAAGGCCTTGAGGATGGCCCCAAGGTTGAGCTGGTGCAATGCTGTGTTCCAAATGCAGATTCTGAATTGAAGTCTGCAGTGAAATTCACATAAATTTTGAATATTTATGTACATAAATCATGTACTAAAGTCACAGATGCTAGGCCAAACTATTTTAAATGACGTTAATCTTAAACTGAGGCAATTACTAACGTGCATCTCAAATAATGGAAGCACACTACGGTCAACCAGAAACTTCCTTAAATGATTTGATACCATCTCCAACGCCCTATGCACTGAAATGGGTTCGCCTTGTATTTCAACAACTCTGTCATCAGGCAATGCAACAGGAGGGAGATCTTCTGCACAAATTTAATCCATGCATTAGGAAACACACCAATCAAGCTAGGGATTCCTTTTTTTTACCAAAAAAATTCATAAAGTCTCACTTTAAAAAAATCCATGAGCTCAATAGTTTTCTTGATATGCTTAAAAGTTAAACCAACTTTATCTGGTATGAGATGAGCCCTTTATAACTGTTTTATTTCTCCATTTAAAAAGACATAAAAACACTATTTTACGAACAATCTCACACTGAAAAATAATGAGCCAAATAGCATAACCTAAAGCATAAGGGATGATAAAAAAGTACCTCTAAACAAATAAATTACAAACTACACATTAGTTGGGCTTTAAGTCACTTAATTTAGTGATACCAATTTCAAAAGTAAACAAATTTAATAAACAAATAGTAGGTTAATTCATTGAATACTCTTTGCTGACCACCCATTCTGACAAAATAAAAAAGTGGAAAACAGAAATTGACGGAAAATGGCTAAATAAAAGAATTTGAAAGAGAACAACAAATTAATCAGCAGGACCCCTCATATCAACAGATCTAAATAAAAGAAGAATTAAAAAAATGCTAATTCCAAATATTGAACAAACATAAACTCAATAGATACAAAGAAATAAATGTTTGAACATACACCACAAGGACTTAGTTTAAAATCACCTAATTCTTTACATTGACATCATTAAAGCTAGGGACATTAATGATTTTCATAACTTATGATAACATTGGATAATTGATCGTATTCATCAAAATCTCAATGGATGTTTTTAATGCATTAGAAGATAACCATGGTTTCAATGTATAGATTCCTTCAAATGGATTTGAAACGTGGTTGATCTGATTGATTTACTGGTAGGTATGATCTTCAATTATGATTAAATAACATATATACTCTTATACAGATTATTTACTATAGAAAGAGAGAATCTGACTACTTAGATTGACGAACACAAAGGATAAAAACTAAGGGACAATTGGATCATTTTGTCTTTTTATTTTTAGTTTATAAATTTATTTTGTTTTGCTCATGTTTTGTCATGAAATAAAACATATTTTGAATTTAAAAATATGCTCTCTTTTTTTATTTATGCGGTCGTGGTAACTATCGCTAGCAAGCCAACTATGATGTTCGACAAGCTGATGAAGGAGACAAGTGCCGACAGAAGCAACCGACTATTGTAGACAACATCGATGGTGGCACTGGCCCGACGAAGATGATGGTAGTGACCTGTGGTGATAATTATTTTTTAAAACACTCAAACACCTTAAAGTTCTTTTGGTTATTTTAAAAAATAAGTTGATTTTTTAAAAATTTACTTAAATATGAACTACAAAAATGTTCTTTGAAAATAAAAAATAAAACTGGTCCAAAATAATCCCTAAATATTTCTGTTGGCTTAAACATGTAAGCAAATCATTCTTTTGCTCTTTCGCATACTTGATGGATAGTTAAATTATTATGAAACTCAAACTTATATGTAATTTTCATGGCATAAATATCAAACATGCCATCTTTAGTTTGAAGAAAATAAAAGATGATTAACACGAGAAAAATTAAAAAGAGAATGGTTATTTTGCTCCTATAAGAAGAAAAAAGTCTATTTCCTAAATAGATATGTACACACAAAGTTAACCTCTCTAATCTAATACATATTGCATAGATTACTATGAAAATGTTGCAGCAGATAAATATATATTTATATATTTCAGGTAGGCATTTAAGAACTTGAGCATAGCATATATGCCTTGCTCCATGAAAGATAAAACATCAAACAAAATAGCATTACAAAAAATAAAAGGAAACTAAGTAACGAAAAACATAAGCCATTATCCCCTCCAGCTTAACAAACTCCGTGTGGGCTCCGAAAATTCGGCCCCGGCCTCCGCTCGCTTTTCTTTTATTCGGCGAGGGAGTTTTAACGAGCACTCCGATAAGTGGGACCTAAACTAAATTTGATAATAAGGTATATTTAGTTTGAAGACAATAAAAGATGATTAACACGAGAAAAATAAAAAGAGAATGGTTATTTTGCTCCTATAAGAAGAAAAAAGTCTATTTCCTACATAAATATGTACACACAAAGTTAAGCTCTTCTAATTTAATACATATTGCATAGATTACTATGAAAATGTTACAGCAGATAAATATATATTTAGATATTTCAGGATAGGCATTTAAGAAATTGAGCATAGCATATATGCCTTGCTCCATGAAAGATAAAACATCAAACAAAATGGTTATTTTTTTAATTTGCCCATTCAATTACAATACTACAAACCAAATACTGCAAGAAAGAAACTAAAACCAGATAGTGACCACAATAATTTAATAAGAAATGCTTGATTCAGTAAATAAAAGGAGAAAGGGTCCCATACCAACAACACGAACAGCAGAGTTACAAGTTTCTTGGATAGATTTGATGGTTGATCCTTGTTTTCCAATGAGGAATCCCGCCTGTGTTGCTGCTACCAATAATCTTGTCAAGACAGCATTACCGGAATTAGGTAGACCATGAGTTGAATCCCCATCCACGCCATCCACTAAACGTTTATGAACCTTCAGAAGACCATCCATAGCAGGTGAAATTGACAAATCTGGCTCTTCCTTTGCTGAAATTATTACCTTCGAAAGAATGCCATAGAGATAAATACAATTTTAAAATCAGCCAGACAATGCTGAGAGGAAAGAAAAGAAAACCCAAGGATAAAATACATAGAAAAACTAAAACAAAAACTGACAAAATACTTATTATCCATCATATAAGCAAAAAAACAATATTTAGCTGCAAGAGTTGGATTTAAAAAAAGTTGCCCCGCATTGATAAATGTAACTGAAAATAAAATTTCAATCAAAAAGCATAGAAGTATGCCAAGAAAATTATATTCAAGTAACATAGTTAAATTTGCGTGGAGCTCAAAAACTCCTTTCAATGGGAACTTCTAGGAAATCTCTCTTTTTGTTTTGACTCATGATGTGATTGAACTAAATGCACCGGCATAAAGATAAGAGTGCATGTATGTATATGCATTGGAAAGATATATAGATAGAGTCAATGCTCAGGAAGCTTTTATAAAGATTACCACCCACCAAGTTGAAATTATCAATACAATTCAAATTCAGGGACATGATATAAATGCCAGGCTTCAAATAAAAAGGCCTGTCAATGGAAGGCAATGAAGACAGTCAACGAATGGCTGGGTTGAAGTTAATGTGCAACAACATCCTCCGAGTGGCCAGTGGCATCGAACTGCTACTCTAAAAGGAAAGATCTAGAGCTCAATCCTTAAGGATGACAATATAGGAATTTTTTTGCACGTTTAAGCTAATCAAATACTTCTAGAGATACGATTTACCTAGAAAATATCAAACATCAGAGAAACATCATATCCACCATCTTAAAATATTGCATTAATTGTCTACTATTGGTTGGACTAAGAAATATTAGTCACATACAAAACAAAAAAGGATATCATTTAAGATATCGTGTTAAGAACTAAATTTTCTTGTTTTTCCTCATAAAATTAGGGTTGTTTGGTATGTATAGGCAAATCTGATACCTATTCCAAAGTCCAAATTAAAGAGCAATTGATTAGAATGCTATACAGAATAACTTTAAATTCTCAGGGACAAAATAAAAAATAGGCTCATCATAACTTATGATACAAGATAGGGCAAAAGTATAGGCCTTGCATGCATAAGCTGGAAAACAATTGGCAGTTAGCAGTATTTTGACAATCCATTAACTGTTCTTAAAACCATGTTAAATCAGGAAACAATTGACCTAAAAGCTTAAGCTATCACATTGTAGCTTAGGAATAATCACTCAGAAATTATTGTTGAAGATAAGTTGCTTTTTTTAAGTTTGTTAAACATTTGGACCCAATGCATAGAAGAACATTCAATAAAGCTTGAAAGCGAGTAGATAAAAAAGGCATTTTGTTTTAACAATTCTAATTTGAATGCTCTTATGCATGAAGTAATCCAGAGGAGTAGGTCCAAGTTACTTAATATTCTAATTTTTAGATTATTTGTAAATTACTTCAAATTGATATCAAAGCCTAACTCATCTAGGTAAACAAATTAAAGGCCATTTTACTTAATATCTTTTTATCCTCCTTTTTTTATTATGAGCAAAAATAAACAATTAATCATTTAATCCACAAAGTTCTTGTATGACTCCCACTTATCATAGCCCCATTAACAAGCTTGCATAAGAATTAAAGTTCTTGTCGAAGTTCCTGGTAGGCAAACACATTCTCAAAGTCATGTAAATGAACTCTTAAAGCACAGTAAGTTAACTCTTAAAGCTACAGTACGTTAAAGCATTTTAAATTGAATTTAATGTAGCCATACTAGTATGTTTTTAAAGTTCAGTTACTCATTTAGTTTTTACATGAATTTTGGAATACCAATTTCCACTATCTTAAGATCATTATGCTAGCAAATGCCAACTCATATTAAAGGGTTTTTTCCTTTGTAAGAAATATTCAGTTTCTTGCAATTCTTGTTGAATGTGAATTTGAATGCTAATTTGGTGTGTATATGAGATTAGCATATGGCATTTAGTTTCATAAAGAATAGCAAATCCATCTACCCAACTTTTAAACCCCACTTATGTCTTCTTAATTACTTTAAGGAGTTTTTTCTGTTAAAAACCAACAAACCAGGATCTGAGTTTACCCGATCAAATCTTGAGCTTCTTGGCAAAGATGTTCGTCCAACATATATTGAAAGTGCTTAGATCAAATTTTGCAACACTGATGCTCAAAGATGAAACCTCGCAAACTGGATCATTGTTCTTCTATTTTCACTGACATTGAAGATTTGGGATTTGATGCCTTATGACAGCAGACAGAACCTGCACAGATCGTTTGGTAATGATGATGTAAGGTACCAAAGTTGGAAGCCTCATGTGTTCTCTGAAATAATCTTTTTTTTAGATATAATTTGTATCAGTAACAACGACATTACATTATATTATTATATAATTATTCTTATTATGTTACAATTTTAATTTAGCTGGCGTCATTAAAATTTTGCCCAATGTAAATTCACATGTTTTAAGCTGCTGACCATGAATTACTAAGAGATGCAGCAATAATAGAATATGAATTTTATAGCATAAAGTTAGTCATCAGAAGAAATGCACTAGACTACTATATACTTACAAGGATATGAGTCAATCTTCATTCATCTTACACCACTCATCCACAAAATTTGAATGGTTAATATTTAAAATACATTTAAGTATTTAAATATGGCATTGAGAATTTAAAAAGGTGGATGATCTACTTTAAATGTCAACCATTGAAATAAGTGGATGAATAGATGTGCGAGAACAAAACATCCTATCTTCTAGACTTCTATATATATAGTTTTCTTATAGAAAAAAATCATCATCTATGAAATAAAATTTTTATGTTACTACCTTCAACCGTAATAAAAAATATTTATGCTGATCTACAGACTAAGACCAACCTAGTGATACAATTTCATCACTTTTAATGAAGACTTGAATGGTGATTAGATTTGACTCGTTATACAATTTCATCACTTTTAATGAGGACTTGACTAATGATTATATTTGAATGCATAATAACTTGTAATAATCCTCCCTAAAAATATTATTTTTTTCAAAAATCAAATCAATTAGAAATGTAATAGATGTAATGTCATAAATGCTAAAAAATTAAATTTATTTGAGTGCCATATATACCATTAAATTAGTGAATCATTTATCACACAATCTTTACCATCCATTAGGGTGTTTTTTTGCATTATAGAAAAAATAAGAAAAAACAAAACCATGAGACAAAAAACGTCCCCATCCATATAGAAGGATAGTGGCCTACCCCTATAGATATATATCCTTAAAAAATAAGCTGGAAGCTAACAAATATAATTCCTCTTATTTAGATAGATAGATGCCAACGTAACATTAGCTAATAAGTGAAAAAGTATACCCAAACCAAACATAAATTAAGTACTACAGATAATTCGAAATTTATAAATTTATAATGATTTTTAGTGGTTTAAAAAACAAAGGGGAATTAAAAGTTCACATGAAGACTCTATAGCACATCAGTGGTCCTGCAGAAAGAAGACAATTCAATCTGCTGATTTGAAGCTGAAATAGCTGGCATCACAAAACGCAGCACAGGAAAATAGGAAGAAATTACTGAAAAACAATTTTATTCGTATATCCGCATGACTCTATAGGATACCAGGAAATTTCCGATAAAGTGATGGAAAAATATAAACTTTATTAGAGTCTAACTCAATTCATTTCTCTTTTTAGCAAGTCGTAAGATATTAAAAATAATCTAATCAAGATTTATACTTATTAATAATGAAAAGAAACAATAAGTTCCAAACTACCACCAATTTCAATATATCAAATTGTTGTTGTCCTATTGACCCGAGTCTATCAGCACATAGCCATTATGAAGTTTCTAGGAGCCCAAATCCTAGAGAAGAAATAAATTGGGGGGGGGGGGCAAAACTTGGTTCACATAGCAAACATAAAAATGCTGCAAAAGATTTATCTTTAAATGACTAATCAATGGAATAAATCAAGGATTTCTGTAGTTTGATAAAAAAGATTTAGATGCCATCAATCGAGGCAACAAACAAGCAAACTGTAAAGAAAATGTAAACTATTAATCTAAAAACAATTATTTATAATGGTCGATTAAAATGAAACTGTCAATTCAATTCAAATTAAAAGATATTGACCATATATTAGAAATTAAAAAAAAAATTAAGGACGTTGAAAGCCGAGCAAGCCATTTAAAGATTTGTGCATAGAAAAGAAACCAGACTATTCATAATAATCAAGCACATCAATGACCAATAATTATAAAGAAAAGGATTAAAAAAGCTAGAAGAAAAGAGAAAAAAGTAATTCACAATCGTACAAGAATATTGGATCTCTCAAAATCATGGAAGAGTGTAGTCAAGTATAACTAATAATAAACCTAATAACACCAAATAATATAGACAGCATCACGAAGAAAATCACAGGATGATAAACAGTAAAACCGCAACAGAAAAAAAACCGTAGGAACAACAATGAGTTCCCATAAGCAGCTCAGGAAGCCACCTGAGAGGAAAGTAATTAGAGTTACAACACAACAACAGAAGACAAGTGGTGGGGCGGGTAATCATTTTCAAAAATTTATAACTCATTTGACAATTGTTTGAATTTTAATCAACTAAAATTGCATAGATATAAATCAAAATCAACCGAATATGTAAAAATGCACATATATATATATTGTGTGCACACACAGACAAACAAATTATATATATATCATAAACTCAAGCGAATCAGCTCGAAATCAACTTGAAATCTATAATTTTAGACTTCTACTCTGGTGGAAATCAAAATTTTGAATTTAAGTTGAAGCTCGATTGCTCAAACTCAACTTGATAAAACCTCTACAGCAATAAAATCTCAAGAAAAAAGTTACAACCAGAGGAACACAACCGAAGAAAATAAAAACAAGAACATGAATCGCTCAACAAATAAAGAAGAATAAAAATAATAGCATGAGCTAAGGTGAACTCTTCCGTTAAATCTCTTGCATCATTGTCGGATTTCAATAAAGATATATATGAATCATCTTATCATCACATGAATATCCATCTTTTGACTTGGAAAAGTACTTCTGATATTCACCATCAATACCAATACAACTTTACACCAATACATATATTGTAAAGAGAGCTCATTATAACGAAAAAATTAAATAAATTATTATAAGAGTGCATAAATTCATACTTTGATAAGTAAGAAAACACACGAATACGTTTTATATCGTAAGGACAAAGAACCACTTTAAAGAAAACTAATTAAAATGACTTAATGATTAAACATAATGATTTATGTACCATTGAAATCAAATGCATAGATTCTTAAAAAAAGTAATAATACATGAATCCATGAAAATATTAATGTAATTCAACATGCCCAAAAAAAACGATTTTTTTTTATAAATTTGTAAAATAATAAACTGAAAACCATAAATAAAATTGATATTGATTTGAATGACCTTATCAGCAAATAATTCATCAAGATCTACATTATTAGATTGCTTCTATGATTTAACAATCTTAGCAGGTCATTTTTAAGACTAGGAATATATTTAAACCTAATTTAAGCTTGGGTTCAAATACAATTTCATATTAAAATTCAATTTTAGATTCAACGATTAACACTTTTTTAGTTTCATGCAAGGTGCATATATACTAAAACCTAATTCAAGCTTGTATATATATATATATATATATATACTTTGATAATTCATAAGTTTTGTTGCAACCTATAAGATAGGTTCTAAGGAAAATCCAAATCAAAGGAGTATTTTAGATTCCTCGAGAGAAATATTGTTATATTGCTCATTTAATTTAAGGCTCTCAGTGGTTATGACTCGCTCACTTCAAAAGTGAGGGATATATTCGGATCATAATTTATTTTTTGTTTCAAAAGTGATGTCATGTGCAAAGTTTTGTAGCCCAATGGTTTGAAGTGAAGATTATTTATCATAGGTCACAAGATTCAACCACAAGCTTTATGAATTATCGCTCATCGTTCCTCAAAAAATGACCTCATATTTAAATTCAATTTTAGATTCAACTTCTAACACTTGATTAATTTCATGTTTAGGCTAATGCAATTGTTTCATTGAAAATTCTAAGATAGTTCCTAATGAAGAGTTTTACACAAGTTCTACTTTTGGCAACAACAGTAACAGCATAATAAGCTGAATAAATAGGATAACATACAAGTCCATCTATATTATTTAAAAAAGGTCTTACACATTATTCTTCTTAAGATGAGATCGCTTTTGATCCCTCAAAATCATCTTAGCTCTGTCACCATGAGCCTCTAGTGAATGACTTACAAATTTTAGGTAATTGATTAAAATTATTTATCACAGCATTTTTTTATTATTTTAAAATAGTGTGCAATTTACACTAAATTGACAAGTAGTTCGGCTACGAATTAGAAAATTAAATGAGGCTAATTAGGAAGCACATACTACTATCAGAGTATGAAGGTAAGGTAAAGAGAAAATATCTAAGCGATAAAAATGTAATTTGTACATGAAACAAAATCTAAGCAATATCAAACATAGTTACTAAGAAAATATCTAAGCAATATAAATGTAGCTTGTACATGAACAAAATCTAAGCAATATCAAACATAGTACTAGCAGTGATGAAAATTGAGTTATATATACAATAACTGCATGCTCCTTCCAAGGTTACACTGCCATGATACCTCTAAAACAAAAGTCAAATTAAATTCCTGACATAAGTTGATAAAAAGTTTTAGTTTCAAAGGGAAACATGCAAAAAGCAATCTTGAGAGTGTTAAATAGCAATATCATCACTAGGAATACTTAACCTTAAATATTTAAGTAAACATAGAATAGCAGATTCAAACATCAAGATTGGACTAAATGATTAATCAATTAGCTATATCTTTGTGAAACTATAATCATGAACAGAAGAAAACATTGAAAAACTTTACATTGACTGGATCCACAAACCCCAAGTATGAACAAATTAATTTCTTACCACTCTTTCTGGAACACCAGGAGGCCCATCAAGAATCTTAATACGAGCTTTTGATTCCTCACACATTCTCTTGATAGATTCCCCTTTTCGTCCAATGATGCCACCTACCTTATGGGTAGGAACTAAGATACGAAAAACACTCTCACCAGGCCAACCAAACCATCTCTTTTCAGCTGCTTCAGCAACAACATTCTCCTCAACTTCTTGTTTTTCACTTTCAGAGTTATCAATTGCCCCAACAACATTGTTTTCAGTAAAATTGTCCTCAGGCGCATCCATTCTGTATGGCACTGAACATAGGAATTTGAATTTTGTCATATTTCAAACTATTATTAAAAATTCATAATAAGTTGACAGTTATGTCAACTTATTATCATTAAACAACTAGTTGTTGAAAAAGTGGAGTTTCACCAATATTTGCTACCAAAACTAAGCCAGAAAATATAATTTGCTAGAAAAGGTAAGAATCTTTTCAGTGCAGCACGTAAGATTCTTTGCATTATCAAAGAAGATCAACGGAAAGCCATTAATTTCTACAGTAAGCAAAGACCACGGTCAACAAGTAGATTAATTACTTTAAAGGCCGTCCTGAGGAAGGCAATAAAAAACGTGCTGAAAAAAAAGCAATAAAAGACACCTAACCAAAGGTATCTAACATATTACTAAGCTAGTAAACTTATATTTAAAAACGAGTCGTATATTTTTTGGAATCACTTAAAATGAAGGGGACTAGTTATAAGTGACTTGATCCGCTTCAAAATAATAATAACAATAATAATCTCTAAACTAAGGTGACAAAGAAAGAGAGAGAAAAGTAGTGTGTATTTCATTCTTTCCCCACAAATTCGTCAAATTGTCATCAACTGCCTCATACACAAGGTATAATGCAAAAGCTTTAAATAAAGCACTTGTACGCATTGTTCTAAGTGGGGGGAACATTCGTGTGCAAGGTACGCGTTGTTCCAACTTGGCAAAGAAAGTTTGTGCATTATTCCATGCAAGTTTTGAAGACATATGCATGTTTTTTTAAGCATGATGAGTATGAAGACCTTGTCGAGATGTCTCACGATATTGACCACATACATTTTTGTATTTGTAGTGGAAAAAAGCCTAGCACCCTAGAAGCCCCCATACATGGGGAAAACATCGGGAGGCCGCCAGATTTTTCAGTAAAAAAGGGACTTCAAAGGAACAAAATGAAAATGAATTTTCATACAAAAATGTGATAAAAATGAAAATTTACAAAATGTAAATTTCAAGATGATAAAATAAAAATAAAATGATATTATGATCAGAAAAAAATGTATGTGGTCAATATCTACTGTCAACTACATTACTACAGTTTAAGATACATACATAAATACATACATTACTAGTGCTCAAGAAAACTTCTGCAACGTATCAGAAACAATCTCAAATGACCATCCCAAGCCTTGCACTTGATAGGCCAGCAAACTGCACTATTAAAGCCAGTTCTCGCCGTTTTTTTTTCTCTTCCCAACCTCTACATCTAAAATTTTACAACGCCCGAAAAGAAAATTTCTGAGACCCATTGCACGTATAACAAAATACCAATTCTCCAACCAAAGAATAATGCGCAAATCTTCTCAACTGCAACAAGTACCAGTATTCACGTAATTTTCACCGGCGACCATTCCCATAGTGAATCTCCAAAGGGCTTCATCAAATCCAGCAACGGAAAGAAGGAAGCCGTATAGTTCAAAATCGAAATAACGTAACACATAATAATCAGAACCATCTTTAGCATACATTCCGCTGCCTAGCACCCTGCTTTAGGATGCTGGGAATTTGAGTATGAGAATATATTTTTAAAGAGCTCTAAATATCAAATCAATTGCTACGGATTCTGAATCAATAAACAAATCATTTGATTTTCACTTCATTTCCTTCAATTTCTCAAACCTAATAAATCCAATCGACAGAAATAATCATACCGGTACAAGCGAGATTCCAAAGAAAACTTGGAGAGACAGAGAGAAAGAGAAGACCAGCAAAAACCCTAGAATGGGAAGGAAAGAAATTGGGTGAGTGGAAACTGAGGCGAGAACGAATTACCTGATGAAAGAAGACTCCGATATGAGGTGGAGAGGGTTGACGGCTCAGCACTTCGAGGGTTTTTGAGAGACAGCGGATGATTTCCTATGGTTGGTTACTTGGTTAGCCACCCCTTAGTAAATTACAATTTTGCCCAAAACATCGGTCACGGGGTTATCAATTTGGTCACTCGCATTTTTTGTACTTATTATGTAATAAGTATAAAGTTTATTATGTAATAAGTATAAAGTTGTGTTTATGCGCTTTTATTAAATGAAAAATATATAAAGGAGTATATGCTAATATATATTTTAAATATATAGGTGTAATGGACAATTTGAACATATCACATCAGTTCAAATGGGCCAGTTGCATATGTCACATGTATCACTATATGTCTATGTGACCATGAAGATCTCTAAGGTTCACAAAGGGGCAAGTCATGTCCAACAAGACCAAGGCTTTGTGAGTACACAATACCATCCCAAGTTGTTGGTTGGTGTGCCAACGGCTTCTCATTGCATTAAGGGTGTCAATTTCGGGTCACGAGTCGGATTCGGGTCGAACCCGAAATTGACCGGCACTACTCGTGTCAACCCGAATCCGATTCATTTTTGCAAACAGGTCAATTTTTCGAACTCGGCCCGCTTCAAGTCCGAGTCAACCCAACGCGACCTGAATGACCTCGGGTTGTGAAAAATTTGTTAGTTTTTGGTCAAACAACAGGTCAATTTCCGCTTTTCAGGTCAAAAATGGGTCGAAAACTGGTCAATCTCAAGTTTCCTGGTAAAAAATGAATCAATTTCGAGTCAAATGGTCAACCTAAACTCGACCCGATTTTTGAAACAGGTCGAATTGTTGAACTCGAACCCGACCCATTTCGGTTCTAAGTTGATGTGTCAAATATTGACACCCCTACTCTGCATCGCTTAATTAAGCTAAACAAACCCATCAATCCTCATTATGATGAGTACAGTGATATAGAGAGTTGGAGTAATAACATCTTGATAACTAGCATAATGAGGTTTTGTAGGAATGTGCACATCTTTCTCAACAATTCACAGGCTATCAGCTTTGTAAGCATTGATAGATTTTCTTCTCCTTAGAGCCATTTAGAATAAATATACTTAATAAATAAATAAATGCAAACATTTATGAATTTAATGAAATATAATTATACTTATTATGAATAAGCTAAGATAATTTATCCCGCTGCTCAATTCCAAAGAAACAAGAGATATTGAATATAAAATAGATAGTTATGATAGCACTCTATTATACCTCCGATTTAAAAGGCGGTGCATCCCAATACGCACGTGACATGATGAAAGAATAAGTAAAAAATATTTGTACTTGTTGCGTCCTGGAATATTCGCGGCGGTAGAGAAATATATAGTTTGATGAAAGAATAAGTAAAAAATATTTGTACTCATAAGTAGAAATCATAGTAAACAACTCGATGAAAATAATTTTTTTTCTAATTACTATACGTCAGAATAATAATATATAACAACAACAAAATGTAAGAATGACTATGTAGCAACATATAATTATTATATCAATGTACAAATGAAATATATCATAATTCTTTCAACACATTCTAATATAATGATATTATAAGTATGTAGGTCAAACTATCATCAATGGGATTCCACAGTTTGTTTTAAAATCAAGAAAGCAATCACAACTAAAGCTTCAAAATGGAGAAATTGTGAGAAGCTGAAGCATTTGATTTTATTTTGTCGATTTATATTGTTTTCCTTGTGGTTGAATATTCATTTCCCAATATCTTTTGGATGATGTACTGGTCGTGCTTTAACTGTTGGTATCATGAGTTATCTTTTGTATATGTTGCTGGTACTTGTTGTTTGTTGCATATCATCTTTGTTTGGTTGCCTTTATGATGACTCTCTATTGATCTAGAGGAGAATTTAATCGCCTAGGACGATGATGATACCTCACTTTCCATCTCATCCCCTTAGATGGTCTTTGGGCAATTAGGGGATTTGTTGTTAGTGTTTTTGTGTTATGACTGTCAATGTTATTATATATGGTCCTGTTGGCTCGCCTGGGGTGTTTGATTTTTGGTTTTTTGGGCTATAAACCTATTTAGTATACAACATAGCCATCTGTTATAGGTCCTTTCACCATTTTGTTTGGGGTCTTATTTTCTATTCTTTTGGTTATTTTAAGCTTGGCTTCTTTTTGTTGTTGTTCTTGTAGCTCAAACAATTTTGTTTGTTAATTTCTTAACTTGTAAAATTCTCTTTTAGTAAATGAATGGGCTTTGCCCCTAATTTTTCAAAAAGAGACAACAGGCTTTTTTTTTAGAAAATAAGTAATGGAGTTTTTGTTTTATTTGAAAACTTGCTGATACATTAATGACATTAAATGCAATTAACATTATGAAAATTTTAGTTGTGTTGGGGATGGAAGTAAATCATGTGATGAAATAAACAAGAAAATAGAAGCAACGAAAAGTAAAGGACGCCAGAATTTAACATTAAAAAATTTGAAATCAGGAAAAAATCACGGAGCCATACCACATTAAGAAATCATATATGAAAATGGGGAAAAATAAGTGCAGCTCTCTCTTCTCTCTCACTCTCTCAATGCTTTTATTCTCTCTCGCTTTTATTGCTTCTCTTCTCTCTTACGCCATTCTCTTACACTCAAAAGAAAAGAGAAAGTAAAGGTAATAACACCAAGGGACACCACCCTTGAGAAAAACGAGAAAGAAATTGTCATGCTGCCTTGCAGCGTTGTGGTGCCAATTTGGAGCATTGTGACGTTCAAGCCTCTATCAACATGATGTTGAGGGACCCCCCCCCCTAACGAGTACGAAAAATTAACTTGAGGTCTGAGGCAACAATATAACTCGATTGATCAATACAATCAAATCTCACACATAACTAATAATTTTCAACTTAGAAACTGGTTATAATTAATCATTCTCCCTATCCGTAACATCTATCATAATACATGTAGTGTGGCTCAATCCTGCTTTCATCTTCCATGAAAACCATTTGAAGCTACACATAGCTTTAGTTTATCAACTATCACCGTCTTTGGCAGCATGTCTACAGGATTCTAGTTCGTGTGTATCTTCTCCAAAGATAACTGATCATCTTCCATAAGCGACTTGATTAAAAGATAACGATGTTGGATGTGCTTCATTCATGCATGGAATACATCATTCTTGGTAGATGAATACCACTCATGTTGTCACTATGCAACTTCTCATTCATTTGCCCCTTGTCAAGTTTTGCCAAGAAACTTTGTTACCAATTCATCTCCTTGCTAGCCTCAATGATAGCAATGCACTTAGCTTATGTGGTTGAGAGCACAATAACCATTAAAATATCTAGCAATATCATAATCTACACATCCCAGTATATCAATCTTAGCACCTCCAAGGTAAAGAGCTTTGTCAACTGATCCTCTCAAATACCTAAGAACTCCCAATGAAATTTGTCTAAGTTACTCATAAATATGATGACTACTCCCACTACATATGTTGTATCAGATTTTGAGCAGATCATAGTATACATCAAACTTCCAATTGTTGAAGCATATGGAGTCCTCCATATCAGTTCTTACTCTACTTCAGATTTAGACGATTGTTCCTTAGATGGTTAAAAATTACTATCCAAGGGAGTGAAAAATGACTTTGTCCCACTCATGTTGAATCTCTAAAGCATCTTTTTAACATACTCAACCTAAGACAACTTCAGTATACATACACTTCTATCTCTGTTCATTCCTAGACGAAGAATTTCTTTGCTGGATCCAAATCTTTCATTTCAAACTCCTTTGATAATTGTCTCTTCATATATTTTATTTTCTCGATGTATGACCCTACAACCAGCATGTCATTCACATACAAAAGTAGAATAACATAACACATATAAAAATGATTGAAACAATAATAGTGATATGACTGGTACATTATGTACTCATTATTTGATATAAACCTATTAAATCCCTTGTACCACTATCAACCTACTTCTAGGGGGTGTCAAAATGGATATTCGGCTCGGGTTCAAGTCAAACATGAGATTAACCCTAACCAAACATGGTTTTATAAATGGGTCATAAATTCCAACTCGGACCCAACCCGTCGGGCTATCAGGTTGACCCCACCCGACCTACTAACCCGAGTCCAAATAGTTTAGGCATGGAGCAAGCGTGCGAAAGCTAGGCAAGCGCGATGCAAACATGAGGGTGGGAGCGCGACACAGGAGTGGGAGGGCGAGCGCGGTGTGGGCACAATTATGGCCATTTGGGTACAAACACGAGTTCGCATAGGAGGGCTACGGATCCGAGTCAATTTGGGTTTATTTGAGTTTATGGGTCAACCCAAATTCAACATGATTTTATAAATGAGTCAGCATCTCGAACACAAATCCGACCTGTATGAAAAAAAGGTTGATAAAAAATAAGAATTTTTTAAGTGGGATCTAGGTCGAGTTTTGGGTCAAGTCAAATTGACACCCCTACCTGCTTTAGCCCATATAAGCTCCTCCTGAGCGGCTGAGCCTATACATCAGCTCTTTATTACCTGTGACCACATATCCTTGAAGTTGCAATATATATAACTCTTCATCAAGGTCATCATGAAGAAATGTTATATTTACATCCATCTGCTCTAGATGTAAATTCTCCATTACTTCCATGCTTCGTAAAACTCTGATTGTATTCATCTTCATCAATGGAGAGAAATTTTAGTTAAGTTCATTCATTCCTTCTATTGAAGACCTTTAACTACAAGTTTGGGCTTATAACTCTTGTTATCATCTGGTTCTTCTTTCAACCTATAAACTCACTTATTCTCTAGTGCTCTCTTGTCATCTAGTAGTTGTGTCAAATCTCTCAAGTCTGATTCAACTCAAGTGAATGCATCTAGATCATCATCCATGGCTTGCTCCCACTTATTTTAATCATCAACTTGAATGACCTCATCATAGCACTCTCATTTACCATTATTTATCAATAATATATAGTATAAGGAAAGAGAATATCTTTGTACTGGTCTTGAGATTCTATTAGATCTTATAATTTCAGTAGCAAGTGACTAAGGTATTCTTCGTACTTCATCAGCTTTGTTTTCTTGATCATCATCATCCTCCATCTCACTGTATTTGAAAGAATCTTTAATATGTAATTTCTATCCTTGTACATTTCATTTTCATTAAATTTGACATCTCTGTTTGTCACGACCCAACCCGACCGGGACGGATCCCGCCCGCACCGGGCCGCGACCAGCCAAACAAACAGACCAGGATCTGGCTTTGGAATTTGCTTCAGAACTGATTCTTCCAAATATTTCAACTCAAAACAGACACACAGAGCTACTATGAAACATCAAATGCAGCGGAACAAATCATCTATATTTTTCTTCCTCAAAAGAATCATGTACAAATACAGCTCATGGCTTTCAGACAGAAAGAAAGACAGAACAGAAAAGTCATGACTGTACAAAAATTAAAAGAGCAAAATACCTATAACAAATCAGACTCTGAACTTCTACTCCTGGACTTCCTTCCCTTTCCCAGAACCTGAAAACCACGCAGAAAACAAGGATGAGCTACAACAGCTCAGCAAGACATCAAACCTCCAATCAAAATCCTCAGAGTCCACATCAACACAATCAGACAGAAATCCGAACAGAAATCGGAACAGAATCGTATATCAAATCAGAACAGAATCAGAATCATACAGATCAGATCAAATCAGAGCAGAATCAGAATCAGATCATATCAGAACAGAACAGAAATACATCACATCAGAACTGACAGAACGTACATAAATCAGAAATCAGATTACATCATATCAGATCAGAAATCATATCAGAACAGACAGAATCATACAGAAATCATAAATGCATAATAAATCAGAACAGATATTTCAGAACAGATCTTCCTCCCAGATTTCAGAACTTCCCCTTATAGCTCCCTTGTGCATACAGCACCAGAACTTCCCCTTATAGCTCCCTTGTGCATACAGCACCAGAACTTCCCCTTATAGCTCCCTTGTGCATACAGCACCGATCGTCCTAGACGATTTGACCAATTTCACATCGGCCTGGGACGATTTCTCAGGACGATAATTAATTTCCAGGACGATTTGCTCTCTGACTTGTGCCATCCACTGATCGTCCCGGGACGATCCCAGATCGGCCCGGACGATCCCTACAGGAAATCATTCCTGGAACTTTTGTACATAATCTGGAACAAAAATTGCACTGATCGTTCCGGGATGATCCAGATCGTGTCGGGACGATCCAGATCGGCCCGGACGATCCTGGAGCAGATTTTGATGTTACACTGTTCCTAATGAATTTGTTATTCTGATAATTCCAGAATTTGTAACCAAATTCATATAATTCTTATCCAATAAATAGACACTTTATAATTTTTGGATCAAGCTTACTCCTATATCATGCATCAATAATATAGGATGAATAACCAAAAAAATTTGTGGTAAGATAAACTTACCTCCTTTCCACTCCAGGCTTTCTCAGGTAACCCTCATTTAGAGTAACAAAAGGAACATGATTGATTAGATAAACTACAGTATTCAATACCTCTACCCAGAACTACTTAGTTAGACAAGCATGTACCTCATGCTCTTGGAACGCTTAGTGATAGTTCTATTCATGCGCTCTGAAACACCACTTTATTGTGGTGTTCTTGGAACAACAAACTCATGCCTGATCCCATTCAAAGCATAATACTCTTTGAACTTCTTATCACGATACTTTCTACCATTCTAATCTGAGACACTTGAGTTTCAAACATGTCTTATTCTCAACCATGGCATTCCACTTCATAAAAATATCAACCATATCTTACTTGTGTTTTAAGAAGTACACCCATACATTCCTGCTATGATCATCAATAAATATAACAAAATAAAAAGATTCACCTATATAAGTAACTGGAGTAAGACTCCATACATTAATATGCACTAACTCCAAAAAATTTTACATTACCTTTGAACCAATATTTGAAAAATTCACCTTATGTTATTTGTCATATACACAGTCTTCACAAAAATTTAAATTTTTATATTTTAAACTAGGAAGCTTTTTTTAGTAAGAAGTGAATATATATCTTACTCACATATTCAATCCTTCAATGCAAAGACCTCCATCAACATCTGAATAAGCTACTCCAATATAATATGATCTTTTGTTGATAACATATAGGGTTCCTTCAATACTGCCACGAGCTATAACCATAGCTCCGTTTGTCACCTTTCATGATTCTCTAGTGAATTATGTCACATGGTCTGAGTTTGCAAGCTGACTCACAGAAACTAAACTTTCTCTTCAAACAAGGAACATGCTTAGCATTATTGAGTCTTCAAATTGACCAATATGATATTTTGATATCAACATCTACCTACATCTCCCTATCCAACAATGTCGTAGGGCTTGTTGTCTCTCAGATGCATCTTAACCAAATCACCTTGAGTATAGTTCTTGAATGTCTCCTTATTTGGACTTGCATGAAAAAAAAAACACTTGAATCTAAAATCTAAGATTCATAATTATACAGAGATAACATCAAAGAGAATTTGACCGATACTATTCTGCAGATACATTTGCATAATGATTTTTATCTTGACCTCCACCACTGGCCTTCTTTAAAACTTATAGTCCTTCAAGTGATCATTTTTTTCCACAACTCCAACACACTACTTTCCCTCTACCTAAAATAGACTTTCCTCTCTTTGATTTAAATTTTCCTCTAATTGAATTTCTTTTTAAACCCTTCCTCTTGCTTCAACATTCAGAGCATAATTTGAAAATTCACCGTTCATCCTCCTCTGAACCTCTTTATTAAGCATTAACCCCACAATGTCCTTATAGTTTAACTTTGAACTTTCGAAAGAGTTACTCACAACAACAATAAGCCCATCACAGCTTTCTATAAATGAAGATAATAGTAGCAACATAATCACCTCATCATCAAACTTGATGCCAATTGAACACAACTCATTACATTGTTCAAATTATTTAGGTGCTCTGTCATAAAGTGATGTCCAACATCTTCATGTTGAATAACTATTTCATTAAGAACACTTTGTTTGAGGTTGATGGCTTCTCATACATCTTAGTCAATACGACCGTGAGATTGACGATATTCTTCTCATTTATAATGTTGAATGCAGCATATGTGAAAAGTAAAAGTTGTATTAAATCAAGTGCAATATGGTCAAGAACTTTTCACTCCTCCGTAGTCATAGAATTTGACTTCTTCGTGATTCCTTCCAACGGTAAATACAACTATTGATATATCAAATGTTCAGTTTACATCCTCCAAAATGTGAAGTTCAAGTTGTTAAACTTCTCAATCTTATATCTTGCTTCGTCATTCATTACTCTCACTCGAACTGAACAACCAACGTCGAGACATTGTACGAAGAATATTTTTCGAGTGCGAGGGAGGATCCTTTGCACCCATCCAAGGAGCATAAGAAATTGACATGAAATCCAAAACAACAGTACAACCCGATTGATCAACACAATCAGATTCCACACAAAACTAATAAGTTGTATAGCATTTTTTTTTTTTTTTTGCCAATATAACTTTTAGGATTTTTTTTTTTACATGTATATAGCTTACTAAAAGAAGTTGAATCTACCTCTGGCATAAGTATTATAAATTAATAAATAACATATTTTTTGTCTCTAAATATCTACCTAGTCAAGTGAGCTCATAAACTGAAAAACCAAATCTCATCAAAGTTGAACTTGAGCTCATTTAAAATACTAGCTCGAGCTCAAACTCATTTAATATACTAACTCGAGCTTGGGCTCAAGCTTGAAATACTCGACATATGAGCTTGTTAAAAAGTCAAATTCAGGCTTACTTGGCTCATTTACACCACTAAATAATATCATTTTACAGACATTTTTATTTTTAAAAAATAACTATATACAATAAATAAGAGAAATACTATCAAATATTATTAGAATAAACTAACAATTCATTAACTCTCGCATGCATCATATGAGTTGACTTCTAATTTATATTACAACAAATGTGCTGATATTATAAGTTCAAATCATTGCTTATTTAACTAAGCAATCATAATAATTTCAATTATTCTGACAAGCAAAATATCTATGCAATAATTAACTTGACCATTACTTCTCACCAGATAGCTTACTAGCTAAATAAGATAGAACAAAATTATAGTTCTTAGGAATGAGAATTCTCTAACATTGCCAGCAGCTTTACGCAAGGGATAAAAGGAAGAAATTTCAAATAATCTCATAGATACTCTCCTGTATACTGAATTGAATAATGAATGTTGGCAATTGAAGAAATTTAAACTATTACTAATCCCAACAAGTAAATTTTCTTAGAGAAACTATGGAAGAATCAATTTGATACCCGAAGAAAAATTTACAATCAATATCCAGAATAGTATAAAAATGTACATGTCTCTGGATTAAACATTCATCGCATGAAGGTAATTCATAGTCTAATCAAGGAAAAATTACTCTGTGCAGATTCCGGACGGCGTCCGAAGACCAATCAGAACACGCCACATCACTTTTTGCTCGATACTAGTGCTCGTAACGGGTGACGTGGTGCATTTTGATTGATCTCCGGACCATCCGATGTCCACACAGAATAATTTCTCCTAATCAAGGGCATCTTTTAAAAATACATCCCTACAGTATTGTTCAATGATATTATACAAAATTTATAAAGAAAAGAAAAACACTTTGTAGCTCATTTACAAAGAAATATAATGACCATGAAAATTACCAACTCTCTGCATCAATGATGGTAGAAGATACTTGCTGCTTCTTCTTACTAGTTATTTCAGCTTTTGCAATGTGAGTAAGGCACATAACTGCAAGTGAGTTAGAAAGAATTAGCATCAGGAAAACATTGTTCCATCCCCAAGTTGAGATATATCCTGTAAGTAAGGGCCCCAAAGCAGCACCGATGGAACCTGTACCATCAATAATGGCTGTAATGGTAGCCAAAGCACGAGAATTTCCTTTAATTAAGCCTTGTGTTCCAAGATCAGCTGAAACAGCTGTGGTGATTAGGGAGTAGGGGCCATTAACAAAAAATCCAGAAAGAAACATCAAACCAATATTGAAGTGCAACGATATGCCTCCATACATTCTGTACAAAATGAGAGAAGGAACTGACAATATAAGGAACATAACTGAAGTGATTGCTCGTGCGCAAAGCCAATCCGAAATGAAGCCTGCTGAAACACCACCAAGCACCCCTCCAATGTCGAAAACAGTTGAGAGGATTCCAGAAGTTCTGTGTGTTAGGTGCTCTCCAGAAACAGCTACAACATGGAAAAAAATTTTACGCGGTGAGCAACTGTGAAAGAACTTAAGATTCCATGGCACATCCTAGATGTAGATTCTTTAAAAAATAGATTATCATAATCATCATTATCACTTGATTCTTGATAGAACAACAACAACATCAAGCCTTTGTCCCACTACGTGGGGTCGGCTACACGAATCCTTTTTCTCCATTGTGTAATGTTAAAAGTCAAATTCTCGTTTAAATCTAATTAAAAAATATCATTTCTAATATTTTCTAACCAACTCTTTTTAGGTCTACCTGTACCTTTCTTAACATAAGTCAAATCTAATACCTCTACGGCTCTACTATCCTAACCGAGTCATCGGAAGGCTGCTATTTTATGTGACCAAACCATCTAAGATTCTAAGGCGACTCTCTCTAATCTTATCTTCCACTGGAGCTACTCCAACCTTTTCACGTATATGCTCATTTCGAATCCTATCTCTAAGAGTAAAGCCACTCATCCACCCGAGCATCCTCATCTCTGCAACACTTTAGTATTATGCTTTTCTTTTAATGGCCAACATAAGGCACCATAAAGCATTGTAGGTCTCACCACCATCTTGTAGAATTTTACCTTAAGTTTGAGGGGGAGGGACTTTTCTATCACACAACAAGCCCGATGCATTCCTTCATTTTAACCATCCAACTTGAATTCTACTGATAATATCCCTATTTATCTCACCGTCACTCTAAACAATAGATCCAAGATATCTAAAACGTGTACTCTTATTAATGACTTGATCATCCAAAGTCAAAATCCCCTCACTATGTCTATTACAACTTAAATTACACTCCATATATTCAATTTTAGATCTACTCAAGCAAAAACCTTTAGACTCTAAGGTTGACCTCCATAATTCAAGTTTACCTTCAACTCCCTCTTTAGTCTTATCAACAAGAAGAATATCATCAGCAAAAAAAAATACACTATGGTACATCCTCTTGCAAATGTCTAGTGTCTAATAAAAAAAATGATTCATGCAACCGACCCTACATAGTGGGATAAAGACTAATTATTATTGTTATATCATCATTATCATTTGACTAATTCAACTATTTATGACCAGCACTATAAATACTCATTCTTCATTCATTTTCAACGAATGTTGATTGATGAGTTAAATATATTATGTGCAAGTTCTATTCATGTTAACTTCAATTTACCAATATGATGAGCACATCAGTAAGAGATTCTGGAATGTCTATCATCGGAAGCAGCACAGAGCGACAGCCTTGATCAGAAGTCTTTATTTTTATTTTGCATTTGTGTTTCTTGTATTAGTTGTGACGATTGTACCTTTTATCTATTTGTGTTTGAGTTGTAGCCCCGAGGGCATTCTTGTCTTTCTTTTCTAATTGTTTGGAGGCCTATATATAAGGTCCTCATCTTGTATGAGAGGGGATGATGATATTGAAATGAAATTTAGTTTTCTTTGCTTGATCTCTAAATGAGTTCATGAGAGGAGAGACCCTAGGTGGGTGAGAGTAATACCCGTCAACCTTCGGTGGATTCCAAGGTTCGCGGCTCCATTCTTTTATTTTCTAATTTCGTTTTACTTTCATCTCCCCTCCTAGCCCCTACCCGCCGGCCTTCCAAACCCCCATCCCCTTTCCTCCTCCCAAATACCGAACCCCACCCAACAACTCACCCTTGTGTCACCAGCCTCCCCTCACCCGTCCATCACCAGCCCCACCCAACCCCTCACCACCGACCTCCCCAAACCCTACAAGCCGCCGACCATCAACCCACCACCCAAAGATTTTGAATTTCAAATTTAAAAATAGTCCATAATTACTTTCCTTAATCGCGTCCTCATTAATTTGGAAAGTTGCTTCATGTAAATTCAAATTCAAATTTGAATTCTAAAACTTCCCATATTAATAATGTATATTAGGAAACCTCCTAAACTCATTAAAATCTGAAATAAATTTCATATTTAATGGCAATCCTCAATTAAATCCTTTCCAGGCCCATCAAATTTCCCCTCATGTGGCCGGCCCCCCTCTCTAGCCCTTTCTCTCTCCAATTTTTGCCACCTAGACCCTCATTAAATCCCCATTAAAACCCCATTGGCTGCCGCCCAATCAAGCCACCCTTATTGGAATTAATTTGAATTTCAAATTGAAGATTCAAATCCCTCCCAACCCCATGCATGCCACCGGCCCCTCCATGGGATCTCCCTCCTCTCTCCTAATTAATCTCCCTCCACTTGAATTTGATTTTCAAATTTCAAATTCTTAATTTCATTTTCCTATTTTACTAAAATCTGAAACTAATTTCAGATTTTGTATTACTTTCCCTCTCCAAACCCAAACCCTAAGTCCACCAAAAGCAAGCCCCTCTTCCCTTAGCTGCTCCTTCTTCACTCCCACCTCTTGGAAACCTTCTTGCCTCATGAACTACACTCCAAGAAAGAGGAAAGCCTCCCTCCATCGACAACCCCTTGACTAGTGCATGGTCGATCCGGATCGGGATTGTGGATTCCTCTACAACAATCAAAGTTTAGTGGATATTCATCAATCCACCTTCTTCAACCTCAATCCATAAGTGGATAACTCCGTAGAAGATTACATCAATCACACTTTATTCACATTGGCGTCATCTATTGAAGAGAAACTATCATCCGGAAGTCGGCGGAACATTTGGTACCCACCCACGTCTCCTCCCTCTATCGGCGAACTTTCGTTGGGCTACTACCATAGGTGTCTTCTCAACTTCGGTAGCATCGCTTGGTTTGCAAAGATTCTTTTCCACTAACCCTATTAGACGAGCTTGAGTGAGGTAAACTCAAGGTGACTTTTCTATTTGTTAAGTGTGGGATCTCTGATTTACAATATTTAAGTTTATCTTTATGATTGAAATCATTCTCAAGTGATTGTTATTCTATCTTGTAATTGATTGCCTTTACATTATTAATGGCCTTAAGTCTAAGCATCTAATCTTGTGAAACATTAGTTTATATTGCAAAGCTTAAATCAATTTCTTTATAATATCTAATGCAATTCCTATTGGTTTCACATCACGATATACTCCTAATCCTTCAACATTAGTATCGGCAGCCCCCTCTTATTCTGCATTTTCTACTCTCGGTCACGCATAAGTATAACACTACCACCAAAACTTTCTATATGTTTCCTACCGCCACATCATTAGTGAGTGCAACTCCCAAAAATTAAATTTGATGAACACTAACAGTTTTGTCAAGAATTACCATGAAATGATCAAGTTATATGCTGCTTTTGATTGAATGAGTGTCACCCCTAACAAAAGGAATAAAGACTATACATCTTCTGCTATAAAAAGAGCATTCCCTAGAAGGAATCCCTGTTGGAATGTGCTTGCACAGCATGCGACTTCTTCCTGGATGGTAGTTCCTGCATGGTAGAGCTGGCAGTTTCTCTTCCTAGAAGAAACTCATGCTGGCATGGGCATAGACAGTAAGCCGCCTCTCCCTAGATGATGTGTAATATCTATCACCCGAAATTCAAGTAATTTTTTGTTAATGATCATTAATTTTAAATTAATTAATAATTATGAATATTAAAATACTTGACGATACTTGAATGAATCAAGGTTTGGGGTTGGCAAAGGGGAAAATGCAAGTTGTGAATTTGCTCTGTGAGCGCCACAGTGGCAGGGTTGGCGGCACACGGCATTGAGCTCTCAGGTTTTTAAATAAAAAATAGGTTTGGGCGTGTGCTGCGGCATCGGGTCTCAAGTGAGAATATTCTAGGAGAATCTAGAAGGTTCTCTAGCAGCGTTGTGGCGCTAGTTCAAAATAGTGAAAATGTAATATTAAAATATCTGAAACAATTTTGCCATTCTCGTTCCACCTAGCCTTGCCAGAAAAGAAGTGAGGAGAAGAGGAAAGAGATTCGGAGGCCAAATCTCAAGATTCATCCGTTGGGCATGTTCGGGATATTGTAGAGCTCGAGATAGACTCCTAAACCCCTATCATCTTATTTCGATTCCAGTAAGTTTATAAAAAGGATATGAATAAAAATATACTTTTTTTTAATTTTACGAAGTTTTCACAGTGTGATTGTTTATATGCTATGCTTATTATTAATGGAGGCATAAGTGTAAGTAAAGTTATAAGCATGCATCTAAATATGTGCATTATAATCATTGTGTTTTATGCGTCGATGTTTTTATTGAATTAAGTTTAACAAATATTCTCAAATATGCATTAGTAAATTTTAAAATTAAAAATAAAAAAAAATGCATTAGTAAATTTTGATGGGAAGTGAAAGTAAAAGTAAAAGGCAAGTGAACTCTGGAGTATAAGTATTATGTACTGCACCTAAAAACTTTTGTAAAGTGGTTATGAAAATATAAGTGCTAGCTCTAAGATCAAGTATATCCTAGAACTTTGGTAGATTAATGTTTTATTGGAATCATACTTATATTGTAGGTCTTTATGTTTTCTTTAATTCATTATTTTTAACTATTTGAATTCAATATTGATATCTATGGGGATTGAAGGAGGGAGTCCACTGAGCTAGTTGAGCTCACTTTGTTGTTTTTAAATGTTTCAGGCAAAAAAATGGTTCGGTCGAGTAGATCAAGTCTAGAGGAGAATTCTCTGAGCTTGAAGTATAATGTACTAATTTTGTAATCCAATTTTATTTATTCTGAAGTAAAAAAATTGAAAGATGATTGGATTATGCATTTATGTTATGATAAAATAAAAGTTGATAATACTGCTTTTATATTTTAGAAATTTAGTAGCTCTAGTTATTTTTATTAGCAGATGAATTAATTAATTATAGGCTTAAATAGGTTCAATCTTTCCATTAATAGTTTATGGACTTGGTTGGCATGGAAGGCCCTCATGCATTCAGTGTCTTTAAATTAAAACCAATTGCAATATTCAGATATAATTTCTTAGTAAGATATATTTATTTCTCCTTTATTTTGCATCTTTGTAAACCATCATTTATAAGGCCAGGTTTTGGCCAATATATGCAAGTGAAGAATTCCACAATTTCATCACTCTTCTTTTCTCTTACATCTTTTTTCTAAGATGATATCAGATATAGTTTCTAGCTAATCAATAGTGGACAGCTACAAGAAAGCAAAGATGGAGAGAAGATAGATTTTTACTCCACCATACCATGCCACGCTATCATTCAAAGATTCTCCATGGAGCACTCACTTCTTCAAATCACATCTTAAAAACTTAATAAGAACTCTTCATATCATCTCCCTTGGTTCAAATAGTTATTTAAGAAAGAAAAAAATTTGAATACCTAAATGATACCTAAAGTGGTTGGTCATTCCTTTCCTATGTGAGATAGCAATAACACCTTGATGATGCACACGTTTATCAATTTTACGAAAGAACACATTTGATCCATGTACGTCGTTTACACCAAGTCCAAGGGCGGAACAGGCTTCTTTTTTAAGGGTAGACAAGCATAACATATAAATAAATTAATATTTTGAAAAAATAAAATAAAAATGAATAATTCAGAGTAAAATCTTATATTTCATAATAATTGATAAAATAAGCAATACTTATAAACTTATCATCCTATTTTAAATTTTTTAGTAATTTTACATTTAAATTTCATTAAAATCATGAATGCATAATCAAATTTATTTGTTATCTAATTTATGTAATTAAATATTATTAATTATATTTAAAAAATTCCTTATCAATCCTAATTAGATTAATAAAATCATACTTATTATATATTAATATAATAATTAATTAATAAAATATTAAACTAATAAAACACAAAAAGAACTTCTACTTTCTAAATTCACATTGAAAGTCATCACTGCATATTATAAGAGAAATTGAATTTTTTTATTATCTAATTAGTTGGTTCTCTTTGATATAATTATTAATTAATAAATATTATATATTATTACTATAGTAAAAAAACAAGCAAAATAAGTAAAGCTGATAGGAGAAAAAACAAATTTGCTAAAGATGCGACTGTGTTGTACTCTGCCATTACCTGACTATTTTTTATAATTTCTCCTCTTTGTCTTGTTTATACTCTTCCTAAAGTTGTAAGCTTGCCCATGCTTTGCTTTTTCCTCCTCGCCAACTCTTCGTTTTTGCTCCAGCTTCTCTTATAGTAATCTTCTTTGCGTCCTTCGATGGCAATGTTGTTGTTGGATCGAAAGTCACTACAGGAGCCAAGCGAATTTCATGACTTGTAAGGGAGACAGGAGCGGACGGAGCTCGAACCAGTTGGAGGTTGTTTATATATTTATTTACTTATAAATATGGACAACATACAGTTTAAGGTGATAAAAATCTCTAAATAATCCTTTTTATTTAACAAAATTATAATTTTGAGGGTGGACAATTGATGTATTCAAATGTTAAAATTTTAACTCAATTATTTGAATTATGCTATCATAGTAGAGATACTAAGCATTGAAGCATAAGTTTCACCAAATACTTGACCACATTCACAAAAAATTGGCAAGAACTGAATTTTTTTTACCTAAAGATTGATGTGGGGAGTGTGCGGGTAAATGCATCAAATTTGTGAAAGAATAAAAAACTATGATTTTCTTACAAGTCTCAATAAAGATCTAGATGAAGGCATGAAGTTCATAGAGGTTCAAAGAGAAGAAAGTAAACAGAGAATAGTGCTTGGAGGTAGCAAGACTGCTCTTCAAATTGATGAACTTGCTCTTGCGGCCATCAAACGCTTGGAGCAAAACCTAAGAAATAACTCAGATGAAAGAAAAAAGAGAGAACATTTGTGCAATGTTTGTAAAAAGACCAATTATACACGAGAATATTATTGAAAACTTCACAACAATCCAACAAAATTGATCAATCCTGAAAATAAATAAATTAAAAAAAATGCTTATCAAACCAAAAGCAAGAGATTAAAGATCAATGGTTAAAACGTTGAATGCACCTCAATGCAACAAAGCAAAGGTTAAAGATGATCTAATATTTAGTCATTTAATGTTTTTCATCCTCCATATGCACCAAGGGCAATGAATCATCATAATTAAGAAAATGTACAAAAAAGAAACCAACCCATTCATGCTCGAAATCCTATTCAATATCCTCATGGATAGGGGCTCAATTTACCATAATAATGAATTTTCCTCGGGATCTCAAGAAGAAATTAAGATGGTTATTTTGCTGCTTTACTTTCCAAAAACTTTAAGTGTAGCATTTTGAGTGAAGTAATACGGATAGCCCTATGCTTCTATTGCACCTTCTCCTAAGCTTTATGATCAAAGGAAAATCACTTGTAGTGTAATTAGTTCATCTTTATGTGAATAGCAGTGATTTTCTTTCATACTCAAGCAAACTCTAGTTAGTAATGATGCAAATCACAATACTGAGTTATCAGATAAACTATTAACATTCAGAACAATCAACACCAAATGCAGTATCACATTATCAAATTGTATTCCATCAAACTGCAAGAACAAATGACAAAAGCCCGAGCTACTTGCATGAACTCCTCACATACCTGTGTGCCGAATGTAAAATGGTAGCCAATAGAGGAAAGTGTAAGCAACAAGCTTTGAGAAGAAGAGACAACAAGCATAGGATGCCACACTCGGCAGCCTCCACGCCTCAAAGAAACCAATTGGCTCTTCCTCTCCTTCCGTGCCTCTGCAACTCTTTCCTTCAGTGAGCCCGCGCTGGAGAAGAGCAGTCTCGTCAGAAATGAGTGAGTTTTTCCCATTCAAACTCTCCACTAATCCATCATCATTAACAGCAAAAGAGTCTATTGCCACATTCAACTCCACTCCACATTCCATATTCTCGAGCGCTAAATCTCTCGGATGAGGCACCAAGCATGCAAAGACCAAAACCCCAACCAGGCCAATGACTAACGCCGGCACGATAAACGACCAGCCCCAACCAAAATTGAGCACGCATGACGCAAGCACGGAACCAAGAATATTTCCGACGGAGGTATTCGAGTTCCAGATCCCCATGATAAGTCCCCGCCTTGACGAATCACCGAACCAATTCGTCACCACAGCAACAACACACGGCCAGCCGATGGATTGTAGGAAACCACCCGCAACCTGGACAAGGACAAAGAACCAAAGCCGATGCACGTCTAACCAGTAAGCGAACCCAAAGGCGGCCGTGGCGATGCAGCTTCCGAACATTCCACCGGCGAGGAAGCGGCGGAGGTCGAGGCGATCAGCAGCGTGGCCGGACAGGTACATGCCAGCGGAGTAGGCCGAGAGGAAGGCGAGGTCGAGTTCGCCGAGACGGTGTGGCCCGCGATTTCCATCGAAGGGGTGCCAGCCGGCGGCGGACGAGGAGGTGGAGTTGGTTGGATCTGGGGCGAGGACGCTCTTGACGATGCTGGGGGGTTTGCGGGAAGCGTGGAAGGCTGAGTAGGCGAGGAAAGTTAGGAGAAGGGAGCGGATCTGGTGTTGCTGCAGGCGGTGGGATCGCCGGCTAAGCGGCGGAGCCGGCGGTACAGGGCCGGAGCCGTCCATTGAAGACTACTGGCTGCTTGCGGCTTCGGCGTTGGTGCATTCAGCATGGCAGAAGTAAGCTTGGTTAGGGCTGGCACCAGTTTGGTCGGACGATTGAACGTAAATATTTAGTATCTTCTCATTGTTAATTTATTTAAAATAAAAAAATTATATGTATATATATGACATGGTGTACTAAAGGATGTTAGTCTTGACATTGAGGGGCTATTTGGCAACAAGCGGAATTTAGTAAATTCCGTAAATCCGGATTTAGTAAATCCAAAATGTGTTAAATCCTGAAAATTGTTTGGTATGCAAAATATTAAACCCTGAGAAACTATTTAGTAACATATTTCAGGATTTATAGCAGTTAGAGATTTAAATGTAAGGAAAATAATTATAACTTAAAAAAAATTATAATTAAAAAAAATATAATGTGTTATAAATTTAATAATATGTTAAGTATAAATTACTCATTAATTACTATTTAAACAATTAATTATATATTTAATAATAGATATATTAAGTTATATTAATTAATCTAATTATATTAATATTTAATTACTAATTATACAATTAAGTTAAATTAGATAATTAATTTATGGACAAATTATACAATTAATTGTTTAATTACTTTTACTTAATTGTTAATAATTTAAATTATATTAATTAAGTTAATCAATAATAACTTAGAGACGTCTATGGTTTGCTATTCATCTTCTCTTTTCGTCGTTGCTATTGGGCTTTGTTGCTTTGCAGGCGTCTATGGTTTGCCTTTCAACTTCTCTTTTCGTCGTTGATGTTCGGCTTCGTTGCTTTGCAGGTCTCGGCTTCTTGCGATGACTTTCTCGTTAACTCGGACCGGAAGTTACAACATTTTGATCGGAAGCAAGAACGGGAGTTCGCTGGCTGTGAAGTAACTTTCTCCCTTTCGCGCGCTTCTTCGAATAAATCTCGTTAAATCTGGCTACCCCTCGGATTTAATAAATCCCGATTTAATCCGTAAATCCGGGATTTAACGCGCACACAAAAATTGTTTGGCTGAATTTAGTGTAAATCCGACTTAAATCCCGCTGTAAATCCGATACCAAACAGCCCCTGAGGGTAGCAATCTTATAGTAGGGTTATTACATTTTTTTTTTTTTGGACATTTAGGCCATTTAAGGCAAACTCACACACACAACGCATACACATAGACTCGAACCTTTGACCTCTTAGCTGGAAGCCTAAGCTCTCAAGTCTCAACCAATAGGCCAAGGAGGGTTATTACATTTGAAGCATAATGTTAAATGCTATATTATAGGAGCTCTTTATTTTGACATGCTTAGTTTCTAGCTTTATAGAACTTTGGAAATATTAATGTTGCGTCTAAAATGTCAAAAAAATTTTGAAAACTAAAAAAATATATTGAAAAAAGGCTCATTAAGGCCCTTTTTTATATTTTTTTTACTTTGACATATTTAGTGTTACTAATAGAATATATGCAATCAAATTTAAGCACTTTTTAAGAGTTTTAGGGGCTGTTTGGTTGCTTAAAAAAGAAATGCAATGTAAAATAAATGTTGTGTATTGAAAATATTTTGAGACTATTAAGTTGTCTGCAAAGTAATTACTTTGTAACTATTATTCTTGTTTGATGAGACATATGCAGAGTAAAATAAAAAACATTGTATTTTGAATACATTAGTGTTGTTAGATATGATGTGCAATATCAAGTACAGTGTAATATTAAAATGCAATGACAAAAATACAATTCAATATGTTAACATAAGATATTTATTATTTGAACAATGTGAAACTAATTTAGGCCACTCTCTAGTAGCATGTCATTCAGTACATACCTTCTTCAACTCCACATAATTTGCAATTGGAATATTTAAATAAGCAAAGTCTTTGAGAAATGCATGCATCATAATACACTACACAATGTAATCCAAAAAGTAATTACAGATTAGCTAGCCCCAAGCTCTAGATATGTTGGCTTTGTTGCATCATTTGCAATTACAACAAATTGTTACATAAATATCTTTTTTTTTTTTTAAAATAAAAATGCATGCAGTTACATGGCTACCTATGCATTCCTATGAAAATTGTATTTGATTATTAGTTTTCACAACAAAATGCTCCAAGAAAAATAAATAGCATTTACTTGCTACCTACAAGGCTGAGATGAGTGACATTATCTGAAAGGGAGACAGATATTGAGGTGTCTTTGTTGACACAAGCAAAGCTAGGTCACGGAGATGCACAAGCAAAGGTAGGTCACAAGAGTGGTGCACTGGGCGGGAGAACTCAATAAGGGAACTGGGGCCAAACTATCACAGGCATGAGAAGGAAAAACCATGAGACATAAGAATAAAGCTCGGTCTGCACTTCACCTACAAAACATGAGAAGAAGGCCTACGAAAGAGACTTTTTTTTTTGGGCGAGAGGGAAGGACTGCTAGGTTAGGCAGTGTATTTGTAACTGGCTCGATTTCAATGGATTTCAAATACACCACAAAATACACTACGGAGCGAAGTTCAGAATGCTTCACTTTTACACTATAGATTTAGTTTGCGCTACCCCAAACGTGAAAATATTGAAAATGTGCATATTTGATTTGTAATGCACGCAAAATGCGCAAACCAAACATCCCCTTAAATAACAATTTTTATCAATTTTTTCTCTAAATTATGTACAAGCTTCAATGATGGTATAAATTTGTGATTAAAGACATTTTACTTGGTTCAATACCTCGAGAAAAAAGTTTATATTGAGGTCAGAGTGACTGCTACTTTTTTTTTCAATTTTGTTGTAATTTGTTTGTCAAATACACAATATATTTTCAAACGATTTATGATTTCAACATTTGAAAAATAGGGGACACATGATAGATACATCAGCAGAAATATCAATCTAATCTAGCACATTTTTTTATACAATATTCAAGTTAATAACTTTCAAAATTAAGTTTAGGATCATTAGAACTTCGATTTCAACATACTTAAAACTAAACTAAATGCATAAATGAGAATAACCCAATGACGCTAAAAGTGACTTAAAATAAGTTTAGGACCATTAATACTAAAATATGATTTGACTTAAAATAAGTTCAAATCAAATACTTAAGGCATAATTAAAAATTTCATGACATAAATTAAAAGACCAAATCATACATGACCCTTGTGTGCTTATAGTCAAAGTGAGCGTCTTAATGATAGTAATTCCACGAGTCCAATATCATTAAATTGTGAATTAAGATACTTAAATACTAAAAGAACCTTTTATGACCGAGGCAATCAACATGAGTCGCATGTTTGAGCTTTTTTTAAGATTTTGACTAAAATTATCAAAATATAACTCAATAAAATTATAAATAAACCCCTCATTCTTCATCTGAAAGGTTATTGGATATTGATTTAAAGTTCGAGAGAGCTTACATATATGAAGAACTCTATACTACATGACAATTGATGCTTAAAACCACCATCTTCTCGACCATTGTCACTTGATCATTGTTGCTTGATATCCATTGAATGATCACCATCACCGAGCTACGGTCAGCTAATTCTCATTGTTTGCTAGATATTATTCGACCACCAATGTCCAATTATTGCTTCTTAATTGTTATTCCAAGATTAACATCGTCCGACTGCAACTGCCCCATTGTCATTACATGACTTGTCATCTAATCATTGTCGCTCAATCATCATTATTCAACTATCATTATCCTTTTATTACATATCAACATCCCACCATATTTATAAAATGTCAAAATTGAATATCGGACTTTATAATTAGATATTTTCAATTAAGGGGAAGAGCATATTTCTCTAACCTCAATTATATGGTGAACTATTTTGACTGGCCCTAACTCGATTTATTTTCTATTTGGATGTCTCACGCAAATTCTTTTTTGACATGATATGAAACACTTATTTTATCCATATTCGATTGGACCTTGGTGCAAAATGAATACATAAAACTTTTTATCTTTAATATCACAAATATTATAGTGCACAACTCCTCTAATTAAAAGGGTGTTTAAGACTTGAATAACTTTAGGGAGTTTATGCAAAAATATATTTTTGTGTCCTTCCCATATGATTTACACACATTTTTTCTTATCTTTCCAATAAAATATATGTAGCAAGTTCAGTTATCACATTTGTTTCAATCAAAATGCTCTAAATACTTCTATATATTATGAGATTCCATTTGTTCTTATATCTTTAATGAGTTCTTATCCTTCTCAATGGCATTCTTTAGTGAGGGAAAGAAATAGTATTTTAAAAAAAGTTTATATGTTTATTTATCTATTGGTGATGAACGTTCGATTGGATGATGCTATAAACCCGCATGGATCATAGCATGAACTGGCATTTGAGCAAAGCTCATATGATGCTGACTCTTTCAAATCCACATGGCGTGCTCCTCGGTTTCAGGCGAGGAATTATTAGATGCGGAGTCTAGACATAGAGATACATCTTGACATCTACTTAAAATTTGACATGTGGAGTGCACTTTTTTGTTTGCTTTACTTTGACTTCACCAGACTATTCTTTATCTGCATTTTAATTGCGCTTTGATTGTCCATTTGTAATATTTTTTGCTATATTTTGACTCTACAGTATATTTGACTTAAAGTTTAACGAACATATTAAATATATAAAATAAAAATTAAATCTATTGAATATCTATGTGTCCACTTTCTATATCAAATATTTTATTGGAGTATTGGCCTCCTTGTCTCGATTCACTGCGCCACTCGCTTGCAGCTTCTCCATCTCCATAGTCATTGTAGATACCTCAGAGCAACCGAAGGAATACAAAAAAGGTACGAGAAACGCACTCGCCCTACCGGCGTTTATCTAATCGGTTTCATCGTGTTCTGTTCCCCATCATTTTTTACAATTTCATGCTTGATTTCAATCAAAGCCCGCGTATTTTATGTGATTAACACTTATTTTATGTACTTTCTTCTGTTGGATATGCTGCTATTCCTATCTATAACCCAACTTATTGCTATTTCCACAATACGTTGCGGTTTTCAGGTTAATCGAAGGTCATCTCCAAAATTTTGATGGAGGATCTTCCTGAATCCTTGCTTCTGGATATTCTGAAACGAATAGATCGAACCGCGGATAGGAATTCCCTTTCTTTAGTTTGCAAACGACTGCATAGGGTTGAGGGGGAGCAAAGGGATTTCTTACGTGTTGGATGCAGGATGCACCCTGCGATTGAAGCATTTACTGCATTATGTAGTCGGTTTTCAAATTTATCGAAGCTAGAGATTGTCTATTCTGGTTGGAAGTCGTCTTTGGGTAAGCAGCTGGGGAATGAAGGCCTGCAGGTTTTGTCTTCTAACTGTCCTTCGCTTGAAGAACTGTCCCTAAATTTCTGCTCTTTCATCGATGATACTGGCCTTCGGTATTTATCTTCTTGCCGAAAATTGTTGTCTCTCAAGCTAAATTTTGTTCCGGCTATCAGCTCTATTGGGATCCTATCTGTGATACTTGGCTGCAAGAACATATCTACCCTTCACCTTATTCGCTGCATGAAAGTGAGCAGCACTGAGTGGCTTGAGCTCTTGGGGAAGTTAAGTAATCTAAGGGAACTTTCCATCAAGAACTGCAGGCGTATAAGGGAGGATGATCTCATAAAGCTGGGTCCTGGGTGGAGGAAGCTCAGGAGATTGGATTTTGCTGTGGATGGATACCCTAAAGTTCATGACCATTTATTGCTCAGTGAGTGCCATAAGGAAGTTGTTTACTGTGACGAGCTAAAGGAATTAAGTTTGACAAACTGCATAGTCGCTCCAGGGCAAGGGCTTTCATTTATACTAGGAAGATGTGTTGCCTTAGAAAAGCTTCTGTTGGACATGTGCCTTGGGGTAACGCACAGCCATATTGTTGCGCTATCTCGAAAGTCAAGCAACCTTCGTATCTTAGCAATGCGCATCCCTTTGGAGTTTCCTGTGAATCTTTTTGACAATAGCCTGTGGGAATTACAGGAGGACAGTCTGAGGGCATTAGCAGCTGGGTGTCCAATGCTTAATACGCTTGAGCTGTCTTATTCTGATTGGGATTTTCCACCTACGTTATGCTTCACCCAGGATGCTGTTATTGCTCTGATTCAGAGCTGCCCCATTCGTGTGTTGAATCTTTGTGGTTGTGGCTTCCTCAATGACATAGGCATGAAGGCACTTTGTGCAGCACAAAGCTTGCAGGTACTAGAGCTTACAAAATGCCAGAAAATTAGCGATGAAGGATTGGAACATATTATAAAGTCACCGAGCCTAAAAACTATAAAGCTTTGCAAGTGTTTGGGAGTTACTGATACTGGCATGAAGCCACTTGTGGACTCACATAAGCTAGATTTGCTAACAGTTGAAGGGTGCCCCCATATTTCTGAGGAAGGTATAAAAGGGGCAGCAAGATCTATCTCATACAAGAAAGATTTGTCATGGATGTACTAGATCTAAGCTATAGATTATTTATTCCTAAAGCTCTGGACTTATTCTCCATAAAGTTGATAGAAGTAGCATGGGCGATGTGACTTTAATTTGAAACTTCAGGTAATTATTTTTTATCCATGAGTGAAGATTATGCATTATGTTATGCCTTTAAATTCTGTTGTATAATTAAAACACATACAATAACGACTTTGGATTAATCCTTGTGCTTCATGCAAATAGCTACATTTTTCAATTAGTATACAGTTTCATCAATCTTCTTTGCGATGTTATTGTTAATATACTACTCATGATCGTTGACGAGTGGAGTCAGGGTCTTGCTATTAGTAAAGGTCTCCAAGAGTGGCATGAATTCTTGAGATATTGAGGTGGAGAGTGGTGTCTGGCATGAATTCTTGAGATTTTTTATTCATGCTTATGTTTATATATGCTTTTTAAGGTCATAAATGCTATGACAAATCAGGTAGTTTCAGGCCTTATAATTTCCATCCAACCAGACCTCTTTCTTACCAATGCCAAGATGAAAATATGATTGTAAATGAAAATTGTAACCTTTGAGGTTCTACTTGTCAATTCCTAAATATGTAACAGATTATCAGTATCTTTAAGAATTAGGTTTAAGCAATAGCAGAACATGACGACCAATATATATTTCGAAAATCTTTCATGTAATAACTCTTCTGGCTTCTTACATTTTGTTGCATTATTAGTAACAAGTTGCATAATATTATCTAGCCGTACACAGAACAAAGAACACAAAGTGGTTTCATCTTTAGTAATATATGAAGCATCAACATATACTATCTATATAAAAGTGGCTTGGGACTTCACCCATAGTAAATCTTGATCGTTCATTTATAAATTTTAATTTAATCTACAACGTCCATCCTTGACTCTTCAAATTCTATTATTTATCATATAAATGTTTATTTAACTGATTTTTTCAAAGAGCTTTTGAGTTCTTCTGCCATAAATACTTAATTCTACATTTAATTAATTTATTTATTAGATTCCGTTTCACTTATAAATTTAATTTATAAGTTTCCGTTCTTCTGCCATAAATACTTAATTCTTCTAAACGTTTTAATTAATTATTGTCTGAACGTTTTACTGTCTGTCGAGTTTCCCTTAGGTTCCTTTTAAATAATTTAATTTATTAATTCTTCTGAACGTTTTACTTAATTAATTATTAATTCATGTATGTATTAATGTTTCGTGCAAGTCTAAAGTCTAAACCCATCCTAATATTGCCTTAGCCTCTTCGTCTTCGCGCCGTTGTCCCTAATCTTCGGCTTTTAATATCTCAAAAAGCGATTAGTAGAAGATATTATTAATGCTACACATTATTTGATGCAATGATGTGAATACAGATCTATTGCATTGAAGGCTTTAAATGCATAACTTAAAATGCCTTCAATTTCATTAATTAATTACTATCTCGTTCCCTTGAACTTCCAAAGCGTTGGCATTAAGCATCTCGCATTTCATATTTTGGAAGATGAAGGAAACCGGCTTTTTTTGCGCCTTCACTACCAAACCTCCATTTATTTATTCACTTCCTCTTCTTCCCGGAGACAGGTGAAATCAATAAAAAGTTTATTCGCTTTCTTCTCCTGTCGGATCGGAAGTCACGACGGGAGCTCAAGCTCATCTTCACATTTTTTACATCCTCTATTAGGTGTATTCGTTCAACTGCTTCGTGTGAAGAAGAGTACTTTTGGGAGAGAAGAGATTTCTTCTCATGCTCCTCCTATTTGATCGGAAGTCATGACGAGAGATACCCATGATTTCACATCTTTTACCTCTTCGTTCACCTGCTTGGCATGAAGAAGAGTTTTGGACCCTTGGCTACCAAATCGCTGTTGCTTCTCTTCAACTTCTATCATCCTAAGGTTGGAAGAAACAAATCCATTTTAGAACTTCCAAGCGTCTAGCCTGAGGATAGTTTTACAGGTTATCTCTTCTTATTAAAAATATTCAATTAATGCGTGCTTGGATTATTATTTTATTGTCTCTATAATTAGCTTTCTCCTATATCATTTCTTTCTTACTTTGATGAGAAGGATTTTTCCTCAATTTTTAATGAAAAAGAACTAAACAAAAATTAATTGTATTATCATTGTTATTATGATAATACAAATTCAATCACTCAAGATTGGGCATCTTCAGATTATTTTTCATAAATTTAATTACATGATTTTGAAATACTTGAGCATATATGAAATGATCTCTTAATCTCTATGATTATTTTTAAAAATATTCAATTAATCAAGCATCTTTGGATATAGTAATAGAGATAGAAATGTGATTGAAATTTATAATGAACATTATAATAAATTATATGATTATTTTACTTTTATATTTTTATTAACATTTAAAATATATATCTATACTACTATTATAAAAAGGGCTTGAGTTTCCTTTCTCCGGCAAATCTTGTTCATCCATTCTACTTATTTTTTAATTATCTTGGCCGGCCATTCTATTAAAAATATTTAATAAATCAAAAAATTCACATCTATACTATTATATAAAAGGGGCTTGAGATTCTACTCTTAACAAATCCTGATCGTTAATTTATAAATCCAAAATAAATATATACCGTCCAATTAGAGCTATTCATATTCTGTTCCACCAAAAGGTTTCTCCATATCATTTATAAACTCATTATACCTGCAATTTCTCAAACTCTCCATATTCTCTTGCATTTCGGTTTCAATATCCAAAGTTTAGGTTGGGTTAAATGACCCAACGGTTTGCTTTTCAAAAAATTAAACACTTAACTCTTTAATTTCTTCACAGTGCATTAAATCCATCATCCTTTATTGTATTCTTCTGAGTTTCAGTAGTCTCATTAATAGCCCTGTTCATAAATTTTTCATTAAAAATCCGATTGGAATTCCTCCTCAACGAATCGTGGCCCTTCAATTTTCTTAATAAATATAAGTTTTCACCGTCTCTTTGAATTCCCCCGCCATCCCATTTATTTATTATTTCCATTATATTTTTTAGGTTGGCGGGAGGTCTCAAAGAGTCGCTAGAGAAGTTCCTCGCTGCTGTCACGGATGAGCTCACTTCACGAGAGGAGTTCTGAAAGAATCGCTAACATATATTATTCGTTTTTGTCGGATCGAAAGCCATGGGACGGCTCGGGCTTTGCTTTTTGGTTATTCTTTGGCTTTGCGTTAAGGCAAGGTTTGAAATAGTCTTTAATGGAGCTTCTTCTCCTTTTTTCGTTTTTCTTCGATCATCCATGAACGAGCTTTGGATGGTCTCTATGAAGGAAACGATCTTTCAGCCCTTGCGCAAGGTTCTTCGGCTAAATACCCTAGGTGGCTAGCTTCTTTTTTATGAATCCTAATATGCAAATGATTAACTTCTTAATTAAAAGATCAAAACTAATGGTTGAAAGCACTATTTTTTATTTTTAAATTCACGACTTTTCAAATTCCACGCATTTGAAGTTATTCTTCTCGACCTTTCAATCAGAAGGAAGCATGTTGAAAAGCAAAAAACTTAGTATTCCTTATGATAATCAAATAACAAGTTTATTTTTATATACTTTATATTGCAAAAGTGGTTCCCTTTTACATTATTGAAAGATGATCCACAATTCTTTAAAGACTCTCCAATGTGAGTGATAAATATTGTTTAATTCAATAAATCTTGTTTGAGATATTTAATTTGTATTAATTCATATCAAAAATTCATCTTTGTTTTCATTGTCATATCTTTCTTATAGATTTATTTATTTACTTTTTATCGAGCCACCAAAATTTTTCTGCTCATAAATCACGAGTTGTTTAGCTTGATAAACAAATAAATGAAACTTCGGGGGCTCTTCAGCATTGTTGGCCTTCAACTTAGTCATATTGAATGTTGTAAGCAATGTTGATGTTTTATTTTGTTTGCATTTGTGATTCGCTTCTTAAAGATTAATGAGAATTTTATCATTTTGCACTTAATATTCAAATATGTAGGTAATTTGCATTTTCAAGAGCGATTCTTGTGAAGATCCGCCTTTCAAAGATGCTTCAAAAAATATTTAATAAGAGGTATTTTTTTTCCATAATGTTTAAGAAATTTCTGTATTTTGAATTTTCTTAGTCCTCGAAGATTTTTTAAATCTTAATCTTCTCATTTTATCATTAACTAAAAGTTATAAGTTATTGATTATCACTTCTCACTTTTTGCATCTATTTAATAAAGATAGCTTAATGCAATTTTTTTATCATGTAATTTTACAAAAAGAATTTATAAGTTTTTTTTTTTTCCATCTTTTTTGTCACATTTGAAGCACCTAATTATAGTATTCTTTGCACGAAATTTTAAATAATAATATTTTGAAAACAATAGTATTACCTGTTTGATTTATTGAATTGATGAGATATATTTAAAAGATATGCATACCCTATTTTATTTTTCTCTATTCTCCAATCATAATTAAATAATTTATCGGGACATTATTATTTTTCCCATAAATCCAAATCTTATGTCAAAAAATTTCTTCTATGAATTCAATTGTATTTATTTTTTATTTAGTGAGATTGATATAATTCAAGTATTAGCATCCATGTCAATACTGCAAGAGGGGAACTCTCTTATAGTATTGCTGCAGCAACCAACTTAGTTAATTCATCATTTTATTACTTTCTTTCTAATTTTAATGATAATTATTTCTATTTTAAATTAATTATCTTTATTTGAATATTTTTTTTTTCATATCTCTTCTCTTTTATATGATTAAGCATGTTTTTATTCTTTTACTTATTTTTAATCATATAATTTATCTAAATATGATTAAACTTTCGACATTCACGTGAATGTCAAACATCATTTGTTCTTTTTTCTTAAACTTTTCTTCTTCTAAATACTTCTCTAGGTAGCATCTCATTTGCATTTAAAACATTCCCATGCTATATATTATAGGATAGACTTTTGCATACATGGGATTCTAAATTTTGTTTTTATGAATTTCATTGGTTATGTGATTTATACACTACGGCCTTCTGACTTGATTCATTCCCAATTTTTCACAAAGATAGTCACAAGGATGTTAAAGTTAACAAAGATCTCACAAGTTATTTAACTAAATTAATGGATTCTTTATATATATATATATATATACTACTACTACTATAAAAATGACATGAGTTTCTTCCCGTATTAAATCCTAACCCTTCATTTAATATTCTAATATATTCCAAGCTCTTCATTATTCTCACATACTCACTATTACTTTTCAAAATAGAATTCAACCCTTCATTTAATTCAATTATTCTATATCTAATAATATTAATTAAAGAATTGATTAAAAGAATGATTTTGAACTCTTCATATTTCTTATTATTTATAGCCTTCAAAGGGACGACTAATGCAATTGAAACACTTCAAAGCAGATCTTGTGGAATAACAATCATTAATTAAAAAGCTTTTCAAATTCTTAAAATATTATTCATTTCAAATTAAGGCATTGAAAAATATGCATCTTTATAAATTCAATTTGTTATTATGATATTTTGTTGTAAATTTATTATTAATTTATACATATCATGCGAAAATAATTCGTCATATCTAAAAGAAAATTGTACTCATTATTTTATGACTCGTTATAGTAGATAAAACACTTTTACTTCAACATGTACATAATATATTTAATTATTTTTTAAAATGCAATTTAACATTAAAGATTATAAACTGATGTTGACTAATCTAAATGTTAGATTATTTAGATTTATTTATTTTTCTAAACTATTAACTAATAAATTAATATTCTTTAATATTATAAAATTATAGCAACGTGCATTTAATGCACGTGCATTTAAACTAGTTTAAGAAAAGCCAAATCCTGTAGAGAATATACAAGAAATTTTATCAAGGTGCGGTTTCTATTATCTGTACAACCATCAACCATTAGTGTGCACACTATTTCTTTCCATATTCTTCTGTATGAGTCAATCAATAGCTGACATTCTTCTTTATAATCTTTTAGAAGATTAATTCTCAATTTATAGTATGACGGTAGCTTATACTCAAGTCCTATAACAGTTATAGCATCTATTGTCTTCCTTGCAAAGCTAGAATTTAAAGCATTAAATGGCATGCAACTATCATAGAACCATCTTACAATGGCAAGATCAACATGATGTATGACATCTTTTGATTCCATAACACTTTTCAGTGAAGGCTGGGAGCCATATTTGATTCTTGGTGCAAAAACAATTTCCATTTCATCTAATTTTCTCTTTCCTCTATCAATCCTTTCATTGTTTGCATATGAAGATTGTGACTTGGGAAGTGACAAGGATCCCTTCTTTGCATTAGTTAGGTCATCAACGAATGCAGGTGTATTATGCTCCAACTCATCTTCTGTTTGTTATTTTTTCTTTGATATTTCTTTCAACTTCTCTTGTATATTATGGCAGATGTCATGTGGGATTTTTTTGCATGAGGCAATGTTTCCTTTGATTCCTGCACGGTGTTGTTTCATCTTATTAATGCCTCCACCTTTGTATGTGATCCCACAATACAATTTTTTTTTTTCATCTGGTCCTTCAAACTCACTACAGTGATTCCAAGCAATATTTATCTTTTCCTGCACACCATGAGCTGAAGCTATTGTAGATCCATTCTAAAACAAAGCAATGAAATGAATGCCTACAAAATTTAAAATAATCATTAATAATGATATTAAAAAAATCATTAATAATGATATACTTCATCATTATACAATTAAGAAATTTTATAAGAGAACTAGTTTTAGTTGAATTTCACAAAGGTTCATGTCATTAACAAGGGAAGATATAAGCCCACTAGATAAAAAGTTTCGATCAGTAATATAATGATTGTCTTGGGATATCAACACCACGAAGGAGTTGTGTTATCAATTTCATTCTTTAATATCTGTAACATGATGTTATGATATCAGAAGATGCCAAATTAAAAAATAATTTTATATCCTAATTCAATCAGATCAAAATGACAACTGAAGGTTTTTAAAGTTGCCCAACTCCTACAATTTCCTTTCTTCATCTGTCCACGCATTCCATTGAAATATTGCTGACTTCAGAAACAAAACCTTCAACTATTTATTTTGATATCCAAATAATTTACTTGACTTTTTTTTATGTTCATTTTTTTATTTGATACAACTAATGATACTATTTGTTTTTCAGTTTAGGGTGGAAGAATATTTTTTTGATAACCATATCCTAAACAAGGGCGGAACCATTTAGGTTCCAGGGGGGGCAGTTGCCCCCCCTCAAATTTTTTTTTTTTGATAACCATATCCTAAATATAATGGATTCTAAAGGTAACACTAAACTAAATAAGTATAATATATTAACCACATCTTCTTATATAATCACACTGAACTAAACAAATAATATTTGGAGATAGCAATAATATTTAACTAGCAGTTATCTCTAAAAAACCTTGAATTAAAGAGCTCATTATTTTCTTTAGATTTTATAATTATTGTGGTGTTTTAATATGGATTCGAATCAGTCAATATCCATTCATCCATTAATACCTAAATCTACTTATATAAGCAAACAACAATTTTCAAATCTAAGAAATACACAAAAAATACTCAAGAGACCGTCACAATCACTTCAAAGAACGGTACATTAAACAAGAATCGGGATTGAGCGGAGAAGCGCGATGTACATGGAACAAAGCATACCTTCTGGCTTCGACAATTGTCCTGTGAAATCCAAAGATACCTTTGTAAGGCTTCGACAAGCTTAGGACGGAGAACTGGGAGAGTTACGAAGACACGAATCACGTTCTTGGAAGCCTTCGAGAAGCTCAGGATGGAGAGCCGAGAGAGGAACGAAACACATTCTTGGAGAGGAATTTGCGTTTGTTTTGCCTCTTAGTGCACTTGTTTAACAAATTAAATTTCCCTCAGCAATTTTACGCGTACAATCATCAAAAGACGATTGCGATTCATTCAAATAAGAACTCAGCGGTTTGGCAGTTCTCTCGTTCAATCGAAAAATAGCCAGTTTTTCCTTGATCTGAGTGGTAAACAGTTTTCATTAAGTAATCGAACCGGCCACTAGACCGGTTCACGGTTGAACTGGCCGATCCGGTTTTTAAAATCATGCAAAATACTGAAACCAAGAATTAAACAACAGTAAAAATTAGCCAACCTATGAAAGCTTCGAACCTCAAAGGACTTAAGTTTCGGCCGGTCTGCAATGGCAGTGACCTTACGCGGATCCATGTGAATTCTGCCTCCAATAATAATAAATCCTTAAAAAAAAAAAACTTTGCGAGTTACGAACCCACATTTGGATAAGTTCAAGTATAATTTATTCTGTCGCAACGTTTTGAAAATCAGCGTCAAGCGTTGCAATG